TAAGCAATTGATGCTCTCTTCCACAGGAAAGCCATGGACTCATTTTGACAGTTGATATTTAGCTTCTCCATCGTCTCTTCCCACAGATATCAGCTTGATTGCTGTATATTCCATCTAGAGAATTCGCATGTATAGTCGCCATTAGTGCTATTGAGAAAAAGTTATTTGTGATGAAGTCTTCATTGGTCTTAGAAAATTCTGTCATGGATCTCCAACTTCATTGTCTAACACCAAGGCCAGGCTTTCCAACTACTATCCCTTCCTTTATGTTTCCAACTTTTGCCGTCAAGTCAACAATATTTATCTACCTTGATTGCATATTTGATCAATTTCAGATCGAAGACGTGATAGAATCTTTCGTTTCTTCATCACTAGCTTTTAGTGGTTGTTTCATAACTTTGAATAATTATGTTGACTAGATTTCCTTATATGAGCAAAGATAATATCCTAGTTCAGACAGCATTGTACTTCAAGAAAAGCTTGGAATGCCCCCTTTTTTTTTGATGAATACAAAACCATTCCTCTTGAATTTGTAGCTCCTGGCATAGTAAACCATATGATTGATTCAAAATGGCCCGTACCAGTCCATTTCAGCTCACTAACATCTGTGATACTGTCTTTATGTTTCCTACTTCACTTTTGATGACTTGCAACCTTCTAGATTCATATTTCACACATTCCAAGTTAGAGTAATTACTTCAACCACAGCATTATGACGGACACTTTGAGAACGTAGCTCTTCCTCCTGAGGGGTTCATCTTCCAACCCTTTATCTGACAGTGTTCCACTGCCGTTCATGAGCTGCTCAGTATCTGACAGTACCCATAAGGTTTTCAGGGCCTAATTTCCTCCGAAGTGGAAAGTCTGTTTCACAGTCTGATTTAGTCTGGAAGCTCTTCTGAAACCTCTTCACCTCGGGTGACCCTGCTGGTATTGAAACACTAATGACATACCTTTTAGAATTATAACCACATACAAACCACCACATTATGACAACCTAACTGACAAGTGGTTATGGCAGTAAATGTGATTGTTCAGAGTGTAAGCTTATCTGAAGCAGCATAGGGTTTAGATCATAGATTTCAAGAACCCTCTTGATAATTTACTGCTCTCACCCACTGCTCTCATTGTACTGTAATGTTTACATTTTTCTCTGGCCTGGCAAGGTTGATTTCTTTGTTGGTATTGATTTGGAGGATTGAGTGGGGCTTTGTTTGTATTAACCATGGCGAATTATTCTTTGTTTGGGGAACCACTGTTGGCATCTTGGCAGGGCAATTCTTTCTTGTCAGGACTGCCGATTCATTTCTTCAGATCAATGTGAATGCAGAGGAGTGTCTTAGACTTGTTTGTGATCAGTCGCTAAAACATGTGGCGGTAATAAGGGCTGAACAGAGTATTTTAAAAGGCATCTCAAGGTCTAACTGCCAATATTGTCTCTAGAACTTTTTAAATAAAAAATAAAGCAACAACCACAGAAAACTAAAATAAAAGCCTCGATACTTTCCCAACTCCTTGCGGGCCAGCACTGTCCTCATTTGAAAAGCATGGTGTGAATAATATGTATAAATAATAATAATTCATTCCAGGAAAGTTGTTAGTGAAGCATACAGTTTCCCTGTTTTAATCATTACTTTTAACACTGTCATATTCAGGGTGAACATTTTTTTGTTGAGTGTCATTTTCTCAAAGTAATCAGAGTTAATTTTTCTTTTAAAAAAGGTCCTTAATAGCTATGGTTCTGTGTCTTCTGTTGTCAATTAGTTTCTTCTTTTGATAAAACTGAAACTAGCAATGAAAGGATTGGATTGAAAAGTGCATATCAGATTGAAATCTTCTTAATGTAAGATGGTAAACCTACCCGCCGTGAGGAAAGGGCATGGGAACCATGTCTGACCTCCTCTGACTACACAGGCAAGGAGAAGCCAATTCTGTAGTAGCACAAGGCCAAACGCCATGAGACAGAAGAGGATCTTGAGGAAATGAGGGGAAGCCACCTCTGACCCCCTCTGGCTACACAAAAAAGAAAGAGAATCCAACTTCATACCAGTCCAAGGCCAATTGCCATAGGCAGAGGTCGGACATACTTCCACTGTCCACTCATTTATCCTATTTTGACACCAACCATCCCTCCCAAGGCACCCTCCTCCTCTTCTGGATTCAATAATCTTTTAATTACCACAAAAAACTCACAGACAATACTCAGGATTACGTGGCTTATTGGGGAAGTTAACAGGTTAAAAATGTTAAGGGTGCATTTCTTTTTTTCTATAGTCCTTGTCCATCCCGGCATGCATGTGTATCTTGGATCTTTAGTCTCTCAGCCACAGGGTCCCTTGTCCACCACCTGATTGTGTAGCCCAGGAATCACACCTGCCACTCTGCTCTGTTTCTTGGTGTCGGTGCTGCAGTCTTTGCCACTTCAGGCAGGATCTAGGAAACATTTCACTGAAGGCTCTTATTTCTTGCTGGTCCTGAGATTGTGCCTGTTTCTGAGATGGCTTGCTTGTGAATAGAGTGGAGTGGCAAAACTGGCCAATCACCAGGTTGAGAGCCCTATACTTGGATGTTCCCACCTTGTCATTTAATGGGAGTTAAAATACAATGACTAGAAGGGCCACACCAAGGTAGTGTTACTTCACCCTGTACACTGCCATTTTGTGGTTTACAGCTCATAATATCCCTCTACTAACCCCTGCTATTTCATCCTGGCAACAAATATAATTAATAATCAAATGTCAGTTACATGCCATCACAATGCTTTACATTTCCCCTTGCTTTGGCTAAAACTGGTAGTAGTAAGGCTCCCTGATGACATAGTGGGTTGCTAATAAAAAACTCCACAATTCTAAACCACCAACCACTTAGCAGGAAAAATAGGACTCCTGAAAACATTTACAGTTCTGCTCTGTCCTATAGGATCTCTATAGCTCGGAAACATCTCAATGGCACTGTGGGAGTGAGTGAGGGAGTGAGTGAAAGAACGAACGAACATTGGTGTGGACTGCATGAAAATTATTTTCCTTGGCTTTGATGCATATTTAGTGTCTTGTAATTGATTAACAACAACAAAAAGGCTGTGGAAATGCATTGAGAAAATGTTGAATGATAAACCTATAAAAAGTATATTTGAAACCATGAAAACCCTATACTAATGGAAGGACAGAGTCGGGGGGGGGTATTTTACAATGTAATTAATATGTTTATAACATGAAGATAGGAAAAGTAAAATGACTTTCCTATAGCCATGTGATTGTATTTCCTTGTGTTTTTTATTGTTTTGTTTGTTTTTCTTGCATCCGTACCACTTTCTAAAAGTCTGTTAGGAAAAACTCACTGCCATCAAGTTGATTCTGACTCAGCACAACCCTATAGAGCAGAGTAGAACTGTCCCATAGGCTTGCCAAGGCTGTAAATCCTTAAGGAAACACTGCCCCATGGCCCTCCTTACAGACCAGTTGCCCAGCCTTTTAGTTAGCGGCCCAGTGCTTAATCACTGCACTACCAGGGATTTTCTAGAAAGAAAGTACTTCATTAAGCACAGCATAGGTTTTTAAACCTATCTTTCTAACATCATTTTTATAAAACTGATTAGGTTGTGATCATTATATTTGGACTTATACTCTTATTTAACAAATGCTTAATGAATACCTTCTATATGCTTAAGCTATAATAAAAACAAATAGTTCTGGTCTTAAGAACTTGGCATTCAAAAATACTGAGTTAAAATGATTCAATTTTTAAAATAGAAAACTTAAAAATTATTTAGTAATTAAAATAGAAACTAATATAAACTATACTGTGGTGTCTCTAAGCAGTACTTCATTCTACTTTTTCATTTGCCTTTTGTTTTTATTATACATTTCATATTTTTATATTTCTCAAGGATATGAAAGAGTGGGTTAGAAAGTTAATGCTAAGATTTTATGGAACTTTATATTACACATACCTTCAGGATTAATGAATGTTTCCTAAATGGCTCACATCAAATTAAGTTTGGTAGGAAAATATTTAATCCATTTGCAAATATGCTTCATTGCTTATCGTCAGCTAATATTTATTCATACAAATAAACACATTTATGTGATGAAATAAATATTTTTTGTACATGATTTTAGCGACAGGTTTATTTGTTCTATCTTACCCGATACTTTTCCATGCTAGACATTAAATTTTCATCATACTTCTGCTTCTACAATGAAGTGCTTGTCTTGAACAGAGTTCTATATGAAAGGAGTCCTTTTTTCCATCCTTTCTGACAAAAACACTTTTAATGTACTATTCATTTTCTTAAGTGGATTTAAGGTCTTTCACTTTTAATAATATTAGATCCTGTAACCTATAATGCATTTTCTCTACCTACAAATTGCAAGCCATATAAGATATTCAGAAATATATAAAAGCCAGGGTAATTTTGTCCCCAATCTTTACAGTTCTGCTATAGTCTAGTTCCCACATGCACACACCCCAAATTTCACAATTAACAATTTTCAGTTAAAAAAGGCTTAAACCTCTGTTTTTTAAAACCAACATTGAAAAAGTAAGAGTGGGGCAAATATTTGGAGCTGGTATGCTTGTTATAAAAGAGCTCATGTGATATACCTTAAAAAAAGGAATGCAGCACAAACCCTTCAAGAGCACATCTGTCCATGCAAAACAAACGTGAATTGGAGTCGGGGGGGCCAGTCTTAGTGTTCAGAAAAACAAGAAACTAAAACAGGCACAACATTTGGACAAATCCAAAAGTTAATGACTGTTGATGAAAACTGGGGAGGGTAGTTAAACCAGACTTTGAAAGCGAAGGGTCCATAATCTAGTGGACACGTGGAGAAAGGACCTGCAATTTGCAAAGTCTGTAAAAAAAGAGAAAGAACGTTTGGTCACCTTGTAATTAACCCACTACTACCAAGTGGATTCCAATGCATAGAGAGCTCATAGGTCAGCATTGAAAATGATATTAAAATGAAATTGTTTAAATCAACCTTTTTTTTTCTTTATAGGTCGTTTATATGCAATGCAGACTGGAATGAAGATTGATAGTAAAACACCAGAATGTCGTAAATTTTTATCAAAACTAATGGATCAATTAGAAGCTGTAAGCTAAACCTAGATGATTTATTTTCTGATTAATTTATTTTCTGTTTAAAACATCATATTTCATGTGCTTGTTAGTGTGTGTTGGGCTTGAGGGGAATCTGCAGTGTAAGTTTAGCTGTGGGAAAAAAGCATGTACAATGTTGTATTTTAATGTTAATTATTATGATGGTACTGTGGGTTACTCATATACGCTAACCACATGATTGCTTATTTAAACCTCCCAGATGCTCTGCAGGAGAAAGAGGATGGTCCCTACTCCTATAAAGATTTACAATCTCAGAAACCCTGTATAGGGTTGCTATGAGTCAGATTTTAATTTGAAGAGTAGTGGTCTGGTTTGGGGGTAACTAGGGAAGTGGTGGCAAGCATAAACTAGGTAGGTTAAAGTATTTTTATCCCCTTATGTCATAGTCCTTATTACTCTTAAGTCTGGTTCTGAACCTTCCCAATGCCGCGATCCTTTAATACAGTTCCTCATGTTGTGGTGACACCCCAACCATAAAATTATTTTCATTGCTTGGGGCGACCCCTGTGAAAGAGTCGTTCAACCCCCAAAGGGGTTGGAACCCACAGGTTGAGAATCGCTGCTTGAAGTGGCTCTTGAGTCACCCCTTTGAAAAGTGAGTAGTCTTGTTAACCTTCCCTTAGGCAGTCACATGGATGATTGTTTGAAGAGTTCCTAAGAGCTCCTGTTAGTAAAAGAGTTATTTATTCAGTAAAGTGACAAATAATTATGGGATGATATACCAGTTGTTTGTCTTCTATTCTTCCCACTTTTAATCCCTTTAAGATTCTCTTAAGATACCGGTATCCTCCTCTCCCTGCAGGAACATGGTGGTAAGCAACTAATGCAGTTGCTGTCTTGAGCGGTGATGCACAGGGCAATACAGAGGTATCCTTCAGGGGACATTGAGAAGGTGGGCTGGGTCTCACAGTGTCAGCCAGAGTAGTTTCATGCAGTGATCAGAGAGCTGTCTTGTGCTACCAGTGCCCATTCCTCCCATTTTTCTTTTAACAACTTTTGAGTGTAACCCTTAATCCACTCCCATCAAGTTGATTTCAACCTAACAGTGACCCTCTAGAATGGAGTCTATCTGCCCTTTAGGGATCCAAGACTAAGACTAAGACTAAATCTTTGTGGGTGCAATCTGCTTCATCTTTCCTTTGCCACACTACTGCTGGATTCAAGCCATGATTCTTTGGTTAGCTGTCAAGTATTTAGCTGCTGCATCACCAGGGCTTTCAAGTTCAGGTCTACTACTCATTACTTTATATCTTCCATGGCTATTAAGTTAATCACTGTGGGTTACTTTACTTGCTTGTTTAATTATGGGACCTGACCAGGAGAGTGAGAAACCTGAGTGTTTATTGGCTCTGTTACATTATCCTGCTTCGAGAGGCAACATTTAGACAGGCTGAAAATTGAAACATTTTTACTATGCATCTTGGAGGTTTTATAAATGCTGAGAAATGACTTGTTCAGATTGTATCAAGCAGCCATAGGCTGTTTTCTTTTCTCTAATTTGGTGTAGAGCCCCTTTTATCTGTTACTATTAACCATCCAAAGTGGACTTGGTGGCACTACTGACAGACTCAACTGCTCCTGGAACATGTCTAACGTTCCACTTCTAGCACTGCTAAGGATATGGGGTAAATGTGATTACTCATTTATGGGCGATGGAAATGGAAGGAAGAAAGAGACTGTGCATCACAAAAGATAGTGTGCTTATAAAATCCTAGTGCTAATACAGTTTATATGTTATCTCTATTAGTTACACAGTGATGACAGTTTTCAATAAAACAATAGGCAGATTACTTTTTACAATGAAGTGAAAAGTCCCTTACATACAGAGGATGTATCAGAACCCTCGTGCTCGGTAAAGTTAGAAGGTCAACAAAAAACGAGGAAGACCTTCAGTGAGATTGACTGGCACAGTGGCTGTAGCAGTGTGCTCAAACCTAGAAAAGATTGTGGGACTGACACAAGATTGGGCAGTGTTTCATCCCATTATACCCAGGATCTCTGTAAGTCAGACCAGCAATAGCACAACAAAATAAAAAGATGAAGTGCATTTCTAGATGAGAGTAGAGTGTAGGTGCTGTATTTCAAATATATTGTGCTTTTGTTGCCGGCTGTTATGTTCAGTATGAGGTTGCATACACCCACTTAAAAAGTTCTAGAATTAAATCTGCATTTTATCTTGGGGGGTTTGTTGGATGATTGGTTTTTGCTTTTTGTTTAGGATAAGCATAGCCAAAATTTCCTTAAATTCTAACATTAAATCTTTCTGGACCTTAAATTATTCTGTTGTAATTCTGAGGCCATCTCAAGAAGAGATTCAATGCACTGAACACTAATGACTGTAGATCAGACGAATGTGAAATTACATCAAGAAACCAAAGGTCATTTACCAGAAAGAAAGAAAGAAAGAAAGAAAGAAAGAAAGCAAAGAACAAACGGAAAATCAGAAGAGACTCTGAAACATGTTGAAGAACCAAAGCTGAAGCACCTGGGAGAAATGATGAAGTAAAAGAACTGACTAGAAGGAGTCAAAGTATGTATTATAAGTAAGTGTGCAAGACTTGGAGTTAGAAAACCAAAGGGAAAATGACATCTTAAACTGAAAACACTAAAGATAAGTCAAGCTTCAAATTGTAATTTTGAAACATTCTGTGGGCAAGATAATGAACAACTGCAGGAAGCACCCAAGAAATATGGGAGAAATACACTAAGTCACTATACCAACAAGAATTAGTCAACATTCAGCCATTTCAGGATATAACATATATGACAGAACCAAAGGTATTTATGAAAGGAGTCCAGGCTGCACTGAAGGCATTGGTGAGAAAGAAGGGTCCAGGAATTGATTGAATATTATTTGAGATGTTTTAACAAACAAATGCATCATAGGAAGTGCTTAAATGGCTAACCTGGCCTATTGATTGGAAGAGATCCCTATTCATACCTATTCCAACAAAAGTTACCAAGCAATGTATGTATGTACATTGACAATATCATTAATATCACATGCAAGTAAAATTTTAACTGAAGATAGTTCTGAAGTGGTTACAGCAGTGCATAGAGAGATAACTGCCAGAAAATGAAGTCTGATTAAGAGGATGACTTGAAACAAAGGATGTTATTGCTGCTATCAGGTAGATCTTGTCTAAAAGAAGATAATACCAGAAAGAGGCGTACTTGTGGTTTATTTACTATTGAAGGCATTTGACTATGTGGATCCTAAAAATAAGGATGACATTAGAAAGAATGAGATTGCAGAGTACATAATAATGTTCAGGAAAACCTATACGTAGACCAAGAGGCAGTCATTCAAAATAACAAAAGGGCACTATGTTGTTTAAAATCAAGTTGTAAGCACACCAGCCTGTGTGATCACGAGGTGCCAAAGGAATCAGTTATCACGCATCAAAGAACAAAAAATCATATTGTGTGCTCACCTCCATGATACGATCGCTGAAGACGATGCATAAGCAAATGTGGTGAAGGAAGCTGATGGTGTCCAGCTATCAAAAGATATAGCGTCTGGGGTCTTAAAGGCTTGAAGGCAAACAAGCAGCCATTTAGCTGAGAAGCAACAAAGCCCACATGGAAGAAGCACACCAGCCTGTGCGATCACGGGATGTCGAAGGGATCAGGTATCAGGCATCATCAGAATAAAAAATCTTATATTGAATGAGGGGGTGAGTGCAGAGTGGAGACCCAAAGCCCATTTGTAGGCCACTGGACATCCCGTTACAAAAGGGTCTCAGGGAGGAGGCAAGCCAGTCAGGGTGCAATGTAGCAACGATGAAACATACAACTTTCCTCTAGTTCCTAAATGCTTCCTCCTCCCCCACTATCATGATCCCCATTCTACCTTGCAAGTCTGGCAAGACCAGAGGATGTACACTGGTACAGATAGGAACTGGGAACACAGAGAATCCAGGGTAGATGATCCCTTCAGGACCAGTGGTGTGAGTGGTGATAATGGAAGGGTAGAGGGAAGATGGGTTGGAAAGGGGGAACCAGTTACAAGGATCTACATGTGACCTCCTCTGGGGAATGGACAGCAGAAAAGTGGGTGAAAGGAGACGCCGGGCAGGGCAAGATATGACAAAATAATAATTTATAAATTATCAAGGGTTCATGAGGGAGGGGAGAGCAGGGAGGGAGGGGAAAAAATGAGGACCCGGTGCCAGGGGCTTAAGTGAAGAGCAAATGCTTGGAAAATAATGAGGGCAATGAATGTACAAATATGCTTTACACAATTGGTGTATGTATGGATTGTGATGAGAGTTGTATGAGCCCCTAATAAAACGATTTAAAAAAAAAAAAACAAGATTAAAAAAAATCAAGTTGTGTGGCAGAATTGTATCCTTTCACCATATTTATTCATTCTATAAACTGAACAAATAATCTTGAGTTGCCAGACTACCTAAAGAATAATGGGGCTGATTCCACTAAGATTCTTTAGACCTGTGATATTCAGATGAAACCTGCTAAAAACAGAGAAAACTTAGTGAATTGAAGATAAAAGGCTGCAGCCTTCATTAGCATTACACCTCAATGTAAAACAAAGATCCTCACAACAGGGCCAGCAAACAATATCACAGTAAACTGAGTAAAGATTGACTTTGTCAGGGATTTCATTTTATTTTGAATCACTGTCAGCGCCCTTGGAAGAGGAAATCAAACAACATATTCCATTAGGCAAATATAAGATCTCTACAAAATGTTAGCAAGGAAAGAATGAATTTGAAAACTAAGGTGTGCCTGACCCATGTCGTGGTGTTTTTCAGTACAAAAGCTGGATAATGAATACAAAAGAGAATTGTGGCTTTGAATTACGGTGTTGGCAAAGAGGATTAAAAGTATTTAGTAAGGAAGAACAGACAAATCTGTTATGGAATAGGTACAGCCAGAATGCTCCTTAGAAACAAGAATGTTAAGACATAGCGTGTGATGCCGGAAGGGTATATCATGAGAAGGGCATCATGCTTAGAAAAGGGGGGGAAACGTGGAAAAGAGGAAGACCCTCAACCAGATGGAGTTGCACAGTGCATGCCGCATAATGTGAGATGTGAGCACTGAGATGCCTTCCTAGGACATAATGATCCGCCACGTCTTTTTTTAATGCATATTTTAGAAGACATTGAAAGGTGGGACTAAACTGAAAGTTGTAATTGTGTTTGCCTAAAAAGGATTTTCTAATTCCAATTTTACTTATACTTTTATTTCAAAACATTTATCTGATGTGTCATTATGTGGATGTTTAAGAACAGTTATCCTTGATTATTTTAATCGTTAGAGCTAAATTGTACTTGCATGTTACTTTATTGTGTTTCTAACATATTTTTAAACATTGAATTTTGTTTAAAATACCTTGAACTGAAGCAGAGCAGCTTTCTTTCTGCCAGGTGTCAGTAATACATCATCTGCTGAAGTCAATGTAAAATAATTGACTTCAATTGATTGCTAAGATTTTTTGTGCTTATGCAGATATCTCTGTGAGTCCAGAACTGTAAACCCTGTATCTACTTTCATTTCAGCTTAAGAAGCAGTTGGGTGATAATGAAGCTATCACTCAAGAAATAGTTGGTTGTGCCCATTTGGAAAATTATGCCTTGAAAATGTTTTTGTATGCAGACAATGAAGATCGTGCTGGGCGGTTTCACAAGTAAGTGAAGAGAGGGGCGTTAACATTATAAGGTTAGGCCCTGGATTACGAAGTACACTCATTAGCATAAAGTTGATTCCGATTCATAAGGACCATAGCTGACAGATAAAAACTGCCCATGGGAGTTTCTGCTCTACAGGGGACTGCTCAGAAAGCCCTGTCTTTCTCCCGCTGAGAGACTGGTGTTTTCAAACTGTTGGCTTTGCAGTTAGCAGCCCAATGTGTAGCTACTATGCTGCTAGGACTCCTCATTTAAGTACTAGATTGTCAAAATCATTATTCATTTGTCTATAAATTACTTTTTTGATTTCCTGATTAAAATTTCATTGTATTTCTTTAATAAAATGTTGTGCATCAGAATGATATTGGACTACCAGTATGATTGTTCCATTTTAGGGAAAATAGTTGAAAGAAAAAAAAATACCTGAGGTGGATTTATTTTCTTAGTAAGTACATGCTAGCATTCTTTTACATTAGTGAACTCTTTTAAGCGTTAACTTTTGTCAGAATCACAGGCTTGTTCTATTGATGGTTACTTTAAAATACTCTTCTCCACCAATTCAATTGATTTTAGATCAATATAATAATAATTAAGTACAAAGTAAAACATCATTACTTGACAGATACTATAATTACATTTTTTAAACTTAAAAAAACCATTGCCCTCGAGTTCATGCTGATTCATGGCGACCATGCAGAACTAAACTGCCCCTGTGATTTTCCAAGACTCTAACTGTTTAAGGACTGGAAAGCCCCGTCTTTTTCCTGAGGAGCGGCTGGTGGTTTTGAACTGCTGACCTTTGAGATCACAGACCGATGTGTAACCACTATGCAACCAGGGCTCTGGGGTCTAAACTCAAAAGCATACAATAAATACTTGCTGTACTATATTTGGAGGCCTGCTGGCATAGTTGGTTACTTGTTTGATTGCTAACCGCAGTGTCAGCAGTTCAAAACCACTAGCCGTTTAGCAGGAGAAAGAGTTTCAGTCTTAGAACCCTGTGAGTCAGAATTGACTCGATTGCAGTGATTTTGTTTGCTTTTAATGACTAATTCAACATGTTAATCTTTTTCATTTAAAACAGACCAGCTCTCTTTTCTCTTCCAGAAACATGATCAAGTCCTTCTATACTGCAAGCCTTTTAATAGATGCCATCACAGTGTTTGGGGAGCTCACGGATGAAGTGAGTGTGCATTCTTTATTGTCTCATTAGCTGAAGAGAGTAAAGCTGCTGTTGGCCAGTTTTGTTACTGTGTTGTTTACTTAGAGCAGCATGTTTGTTAGAACTATAGAACACAAGTCACAAACATAATTAAAACTTTATTATTTACTTCTCTTATATATTATTATACAACATAGATAATTTACTTCATAATTTATAAGATATTTCATAACCATTTTATCCATTGGATTCTCATAACTTCATCGGGGAGCACATCTTCGTTTTAAGTTCGAATATTTGAGACTAAAGGGAAAACTTACTGCTGTGGGTTCAGTGTTGGTTTCACTGTAGAAGGCTTCCATAAAGAATATAGCCAAGAGAACCTCATGTGGCAGTTCTGCTTCCTGACATGGGGTGGTGGGAGCTGAAATTGGCATGGTGGCACCTGCAGCAGTCACTGTTGTGAAAAAGTTTTTTTCTGAGACAGCAGAAGTTAATGGCAAAAGATCGAAACTATTGCAGATGTATTGTATTGGTGATTCAGATACCATAAGGAGCAGTGCTTTCTATGGTATGATTTTTTTCCACATGGGTGTCAGATCATAGGAAAGTTCCAGACAAAATGAAGTACCATCTTTGTATAAGGTATTTGTGGTCCTGTAAAACAGTGCATCTCAAAACTGGAAAAGAGCTCTTTATGTTAAAAACAGTAAATGTCTTCAACATGAAACTTGGGTTTCTTGTGTATGGCTGACCCTTTATTTCAGGGTACCAAGTGCAAGCACACCCCTTTTATTGCAGTTCACTTGATTGTACTTCCTCCAGACATTGTTTTTCACAAATTGAATGTTTGTGGCAATCCTGTCTATGAAGTCTATTAGCACCATTTTTTTTTCAATAGCATGTACTCACTTCATGTCTTTTTGTCACATTTTAGTAGTTTGCTATGTCTGGAAAGTTTTTATAATGGTATGGCACACTTAATAGGCTACAGTATTGTATAAACATAACTTTCCTATGCACTAGAAAACCACATATTTCATGTGATTCATTTTGCTGCGGTATTTGCTTTAATTGCAGTGGTCTGGAACTGAGCTCACAATATCTCCAGGTGTGCTTATACCTCTCTTCCTTGCACACACAGTACCTTTAACATTCCCGAGTCATTGAGATAGCCCTGGGATTCTTCAGGAATGTATAGTCTTAAACATAAGAATATCACACTGAATATGCTAAGGTGCCTTTCTATGTTTTATTTTGGATTAAATTGTACTTCAAATCCCTACAGGTAGAGATTTGTTTCATTCTACTCCTCTATCATCTTGGGCATTAAGTACAGATTGGCACACCAAGTGACATCGTAGCATGAAAAGCGTGGCTCGTTACTGCATATTTCCAAGGTTACTGTAGTTAGCTTTTCATCTGTCTGTTCATGACCTTGTTGTTCAGGCTCTTTAAACAGAACTCCTTTCATAGCCCTTCTGAAAGGGACTAGATCTCACTGACTCACAGCATTTTTCCTGGTCACTTGCCTGATCGCTCCTCTTGCTAATTTCATGTCATTACTCATAGTGCTACAAAACTAAATAAAGTCGATTTTCTTTTATCTTCAAATGATTTTGAAAATATGTTATCTGCCACAATCCCTCATTTCAGTTTCCCATCTCTATTTAGATATGTGTGTTTATCTTTTTTAAGTGTCCTCTGCCAGTGCTTTCACAATACTTCATTAGATTTGTTATGTAAACATCTAGCCTTCCGTAACTTACACTATATCCCAGTTTTCCATATAGAGGCCTCAGAATATAAAAGATTTTAAACATACAATATATTTCTATTCCCATAGAGTGACAGTCTCGGGAACCCTCAAGGGCAGTTCTACCCTGTCCTATAGGGTCTCTGGGAGTCAGAATCGACTCATTGGTGGTGGGATTGGTTTTGAGTGCCTGTTCCCTCTAATCAGAGCTGATATTTTTATAGGCATTCTTTAGTAAATTTTAGTTAATTTCACTACTAGCAGTATTTGAAGATCAAAAGGTTATAAAGTTATTAATATACATTTTCTTCAGTTTTCAGTGATCCAAAGGAAATTTAGAGAGTGTTTTTGACCTTCATGAGGATGTTTTCTAACACATAAATAGAAGCAGGATAAACTACAGTAATATGTGGTGTATTAATATTCAATTATAAGGAAGAGATTCACTTGTTGTTCCTATTATTTGTTTGATACTGTGATTGTGTACTTTAGATATGCTTTGTTTCTCCATTCAAAATTCTGAATTATAGTTGCAAAAACTGAGGATCAAAAATATAAGTATCTTTCGCTAGCTGATAGTTTAGACATTGTTTCTTGTAATCTCTGTGGTAAAGGTTCAGCTTTGGGACTTTTGCATACTAATCCATTGCATACTCATCATTTTGTAAAATACAGTAAAAATAAATTACCTGAAAAGTGACTCTTAATAAATACATATAAGATACACGCTTAATTTGTTACAACTTTTCTAAATTCTGTCCATTTCTAAATATCTGGTAATGAACAGTTTGTAGTTCTGCACTAGTTTTAGACCACACTTTGGCGTTTATTTAGATCCTACCCTGAAACTGTTCTTGCTTAAGAAACAGGGCTCTAAAATCACTATTATGACGATGCACATGAATAGTTGGCTGCAAAGGCAGTCATCTGGTTAAGGTTATCTGTTTGTTCCATAGGATTCTGATGTAACATCCACAGATGGTGTTACTGTATTGGTTACAGGGTCCAAGATTTACTGTAGTGCTAGCCAAGTAACCTGTACTATAGCTGGAAAACCTGTTAAATATAGAGCATCTCATTACAAAAACATGATTTCTGCTTACATCATAGCTTATGCTTGCATGCACTCTATCCTGAGGACCCCTCAGGGCACAGCAGTTACATTTTGGGCTGCTAACTGCAAGGTCAGCAGTTCAAAACCACTAGCTGCTCTGCAGGAGAATAATGCATTCTACTCTTATAAAAGAAATTACAGTCTTAGAACCCGTAGGGCCAGTTCTACTCTGTCATATAGGGTCACTATGAGTTGGAATTGACTTGATGGCAGTGAGAAGGTCTGAATTACTACCCTTAACATCTCATGCGTAGCACTTATTACATTAGTAACTCAATAAATGTGAGACTGGCTTCTCTTTTACATAGTGTAGAAATCCTTTGTATCTTGTGCTGGTTTTATTCAGCCGCCATAAACAAAGTACTTTGAACTAAGTGTCTAACAACAACAGAAAGTTACTCTCTTACAGTTCTAGAGCTTTGACTGGAATCCAAGGTGCTCATGGAACTGTGCAGGAAGATCCCTCCAATCTCTAGCTTCTGGTACCCCAAGCATTCTTTGACAGAGGGCAGCCAGTCCTTTCCATGGCTTTCTTCCCTCTTTTTTCTCCCTGTCTTCTTTTCTTACAAGAATATCAGTCATTTGGATTTGGACCCACTCTACTTCAGGTTGACCTCATATTAACTTTACTAATTGCATGTGCAAAGATACTATTTCCAAAAATATTCAGTTGTCATGGTCAGTAGTTGAACATATTTGGGGGGGCTTACCAATCAACCTTTCTTTTTTGATACCACATTATTGCCAAGAACAGTTCCTTGAACATAAGAATCATTCCGTCTTGGAGTATTCCAGGTGATGCCTTGGCCATAAGTAGTATAAAAATTCCATCTCATAGCGACCTGATGGACAGGGTAGATTGCCCCCTATGAGTTACTGAGACTATAACTCTTTATCGGATTAGATAGTCCAATCTTTTTCCTTCAGAACTGCTGGTAGTTTCAAACTGCTGACCTCATGGTTGGCTGCCCAACACGTAATCACAATATCACCAGGGCTCCCCTGAATATTAAAACAATCAATTAAAAATCTCTGTCCATCCAGAATTCTAAGAGATATTTTCCTCTTGTATTTGTGAAAGTAACATTTTGTCTTATAGTATATATCAGACATTTACCAGTAAATTCTTCGATGACAGTTCTCTGTGCAGTAACCCAATGAGGGTAGTTTCAGAGTTACTAAGTAACATAAAACCAAAAACCAAGCCCACCGCCATTGAGTGATTTCCCACTCAGAGTGACTCTGTGGTTTCCAAGTCTGTAAGTGTTTACGGGAGCAGATAGCCTCATCTTTCTTCCACAAAGTGGCTGGTAGTTTTGAACCCTCGCCCTTTGTAATTAGCAGTCCAACACTTCGCCTACAGTACCATCAGAGCTTCACGGGCTACCTGGCTATCAAGCTAGTGTATGTTTGGTTGAACCACTACCCTGGCTTCTTTAGATGCCAATGGAATTGCATTGGTCCTGACTGATAATGACACGGTATACAACGGACAGAACACTGCCCAGCCCTCTATCATCTGCACAATTTAAAAAGACATGGTCTTCATTTTCCTTTCGTGTGTGCATAAATACATATGTGAACAGATTGTTTACTTTTTATTAAAATAGTTCCTTTAAAAATCATTGTTATCTTTTTAATATAATTTTAGAATTCCATTTAGTATAGTAATTCTCACTGAAGCATAAGAGTTGTTCATTTTTTTAGACAGGCACTCCTATGTTTCCATTCTTGAAAACCAAAGAAAATTGGGCATCAGTTTCTCAGTAAGCTGGTTTCTCACTGAAGTCTGTGGCTTGAGGTCTCTGGTAGAATTTATCCAGGGGTGGGTGGAGTAAGAACCAGACTTAGCGTTCCACCGAACACAACTTAAGTTTTATCTCACAAATAAGACAACACATCATAAATTTGTTTTCATTTGCCTACCAGTGTTCAATGTTTAAATACCTGACTGTTCTTTTTAGAATGTGAAGCACAGAAAGTATGCTCGATGGAAGGCAACATACATACATAACTGTTTAAAGAATGGTGAGACCCCTCAAGCAGGACCTGTTGGGATTGATGACGATAATGGTATGCATTTACTTGTTCTTCAATGATTCAGTAGAATCATAGCTTTACTGTATATTCTTACTCAAAATTCATGGAAAGAACAATTCAATTCTGTTTCCCCCATCAGGTCCAGAACCCATGAAAACGAGGTATAAATTATAAATTTAGGGATAAGAGATTAAAGCCAAACCATCAGATCTATCCTTATTAATGAAGCACCTTGGGTACCTGCTACTTCTAATCCGTGGTTTTCATTCCTCCATAGAAGATCATTCATTTATTATTTGTAAAATATCTCCTAAATTCAAAGACACTGTACGCCTCACAATTATTTGGCTGTCTTGCACTTGCATTTACGCCAATAGAAAAACAACTGACTATTTTGCACATTGAGGACCTACATCTGGCAATATCAAACATTAAGGTGCTGGGCAAGAGTTACATTGGCTGTGATGGTTAATGTTAAATGTCAGCGTGGCTGGGCCATGAATCGCAGAGGTTTGGCCGTATGTAATAATGTCATCCTTCACTCTGTGATCTCATGTTCTCATCCTCCACTTTCACATCATACCGATTTTTCTATAAAGATTTGGTCTTTGGAACTTCATCGTGTCAATGAGTGAGAAGTGGTGGTATATCTATTTGAGGTACTGTAATTTGGGGTTTTTTGTTTCTTTGTTTGTTTTGATTAATGCCTCTCATGGCTCAACAATTATGGAAGATCTAAAAGTATGAAGTCAGAGTATCATTTATACCACATCTTTCCAGATTTTTCCAACATCTAAGTACTGTTTTAAGTTTTTTCTATACTCTCAGAAATTAATTTTTGTGAACTTAGCAGTAAATAAAAATGTTAAACTTAGCATTTCTACACCATTATTTATGCAGTGTTCTGTACTTCCTTTTCTTCCCTTGATGAAAAAAGGAAAAACTATGATCATATAAATGGGTTTTACAAAATTTAATCATGGAAGAAGAATAAGGGTCACATTATTTCTCTTGGCCTTTCAGTTACTAAGTGACAGAAAAAGAAAAGAAAACCATTTTCCACTTTACCTTTTTTTGGTTCTGTCTGTTTTGTCCCCAGCTTACAGTTTTACCTCGTTGTTAGGTTGTTACTCTGCTTCTCTTTATTGTCTGGAACATATTTGTAGACGTTGTTCTGATGGTCTTTTCTGCTAATTTCAATATCGAGGTCATCCTGGGGTCTTTTTCTGTGACTTTCTTCTTCATTTTTCTTTTTCCCACATATTTCTAGTAAATTTATTGTTGATTGCATTTTGTAAAGATACTTCATCCTTTTATCATCCTCTGCAAACCTTTGCTTATTATTCAAGTAGACTGTTCACTTGTCTGACCTCACACTGCCTCTCATTATTTCTGCCACCAAAGCTGTTGCTTTCTGCAGCGCCCCTGGATGCTAAGCTTTGTGGATAGCTCAGGCACAGTACATACATAAACCTACAGTGCGTGGGTCTCTGTACTTTCTTTTCCAGAATCATCTGTCCTCTTAACATTCTTGCTTCTTGGCATCCCTGGACTACTTCTGATTCCTCAGATAAATAAAATGATAGCATAACGCTTGAGTTTGAGCTTCCCCATACTGCAGTTTGTTGAATGCACTCTAAAAGTAACAAAAAACAATCTTTATGATTATACCATTGCGATTTATGGCCCAGCCATTGAAATGTCTTTCTGCAGTGAGCATCTTCAGTCTAGTTCTTTCTGCTGTGTTCCAGTGTCTCGAAGTAGTGGTTTGTTTGCTTTTCTGCTCTTAGCTGATGTAGGAGAAAATAGTGGTAGGGATTTTACTGTGTAACCTTCTGCATATACTTACCCCTTTCATACACATCTCAAGAGTAATAATA